GTTGATAACTCTGCTAAAATTAATGCTTATGTTATGCCTGATCTTTGTGCTTCGTGTTGGAGAACAGCAAAACACCACCAATATTTAAGAAAAAGTCATCTTTGAGGCCTTAGACATTAATAAAAATGGGGTGAAATGACAAAGTAGTTATAGAATCTGCCCATATATCCTGCTCAAAATTACTTAATACTGAAAAAAATTGGAGTAACCTGGCGTCTTTGGCCTGGCATTTGGTGTCACTGTCAGTAAAAGCAGCAGCAAGCTGGATAAGCACCGAAAATCATAAAAGGGACTGCATTGCATCGACCCATTCTATCCGCTTACGTATCATGGAAGACCAACGTGGCAGTTCTTTTTCTCTTTTCATAAAAAATCAAAACTCCTATCCTGAGGTAAAGTTTGCCTTGCATTATTGTATTAGGTACCGCTACGCTATTGTCGTACACATGTGCATGCACATATTACTCAAAAGAAAAGTAAAATATGCAAATTCGCTGCCAAATTTATTAAAAATGAAGGCAAAATTAAAATTCGCGTCACTTTAGTTTTTTATTTAAAGATTTGCGAAATAATAAAATACTTTAATTTTGATGCAAATAAAATATTGCGCCTATTAGCACGGCATGCGCGAAAGGTGCGCTTCACAGCCTGACCCGTCTGTTCCTCTATTTCAAGAGTACCTCAGTCTGGACAGAACTTGATCCGAGTAAACCTTCTCACCCCTCAGTTGAGTTAGGATCTGAGTTATCTTTCAGCCCGCTATACAGCGATTGGGAGAGTGAAGGCCGGCGTCATAGTTGACGTGAGCATTCCCCGCATTCTTCGTGGGTGGTAGAATTATGGAGGGTTTATGCCGTCGAATGTTATATTTTAACATGAAGCAATTCAGCACGAACCACTCATTCTGGTTTTGCTCCCTCACACGCGCCAAAATAGACCGTGGCACAGGAACGAAGGTAAAATGTCTAGTTTTCTTCACAAAATGAGGGCTCGCTATCGGGAGCTCAACTTGTTGCTTTTGCGGAAGTCCGACGCGTCCAATTCTTTCTTGGACAAATTTTCATTGTATCAGGACAGAGTGTACACATTCGTCAAAGGCGAGAGAGGAAAAAATCCGCCCAAGTTGGTTATTCAGATGACCATTTTGCACTGTCAAGCTTTTTATAGCCCAGCCAACAGTTCTATTTCAACCCTAATTCTTTCCCTACCGACTATTAAGAGACCAATTCTTAAGCAGAAAGACTTACAAATTTGAAACCATGTCACGCAAAAGAGTATACATACATGCTAAAAATGAAGAGATCATTCGACTAGGCCTCATCATCGGAGACCACGACAGTGGGTCGAGTGAGACCTGCTGCTTTGCGCGCCAGGAAACGCTGTCGAGCGGCCTCCACCTCCTCCTCGGTGGTTTTGCGTGGTTTTGTGTGGATAAAACCTGGGGTTGGTGGTAATTTCGGTGCTGATGGTGAAGCATCTATTTTGGAAACCGCTCCATCCTTCAATGATGGCGCTTCAGTTGGACTTCTATCTCGTCTCCCTTTCCCTTCACCTTTCCTCCCTCCATTCTCTCGACGTCTCCGGTCGTCATGATGACGTGAATGATGGGAATGATTTAGAAATTTAACACTGTGCTCAAGGTATCAGTAATGCTGACATATGCAAAGATCGGTAATTTTATGCAAGTCGTAATTAGTTTCCTTGAGAGGTCACTTTTATTGTAAGCAGACTCACCTCATGTTAATCATTATCTATGTCCACTGTTGTTCCACCTAGTTCCTTGTGAATGAGCCTAAGAAGTCGTGTGAGTGAAGCAGAATGGGGCAAACTGTTCTGTTCAACCTAATTTAATGCTATTAAAATAGAATGACCGTATTTGCCTTTGTTCAATCTGTGATTGATGTTTTACTTTCTTCTTGCATTCCAGTGATGTACCATATGACATTAGAGCCTTACACGTAGAACCACAATCCAATCAGTTGGATCAGCCATCTGCCACCTGTGACGCTTTTTGGTCTAGAAAGTGCGTTGTTCATTTTATTTTCTTGATTTTGTCCTACTGGTAATTACATTTAGTTATGCCTTTCTTGCCAACCATGTCTAGTACAGAACGTCATTACAACTAGCTTCTCATCAAGTACTGAAAATGAGCCATTCATATATCGTCAAATATGGACAATTTTCTGCCAGATTTTGCAATATTACCACCAGAATTCTAAATCCGACCCAAATATTCTTTAGGGTCATTAATATCAATGATATAATTTCAGCTTGCACTCTTACATTTGGTTGTACTGTGGACAGTAATTCTGTTCTGCGATGTAGCTTGCCCATAGAAGTACTTAGAAAATTATACTTAATCGAAAGAAAATTAATTGCTGCCATCTTCTTCTAAAAGAGGGCACAGATCATGGAACCTTAAGCATAGGACTAGCCCTCCTTCCAAAAGGCGTTTCTTCTAATCTCATGTGTGTAATGAAAAAACACACTTGCAGCTGATACGCTATATGATCGACTGAATGCTAATGTGGGAATTTAATTTAACAACATCAATTCCGGTTGGTTGTGACTACAGAATGTTTAATTGCCTAAATGAAATCGGTGTTTTTGCGCACTTATGTAAATTTATTTGCTAAATGCATATGATCGCATTATTAATATTGTAAACGCTATCCATGTACACCGAACACATCCAGTCGTAGGTGCAATTGCGTTAATAACAACCCGAAAAGGGCTATTTCTTTTGTTTTCATTCCTGATCAGCAATATTATAAGAGGTGGATTTAATTACTATCGGTGGCCTTCACTGTAGTTAAATTGGCTAGCGGCTCCTCTGTAATGTTAGTAAATCGACGTTGGCATCTTCATTACTTTCACAAGACTTGTACTTAAACAGCACTACTAACTTTGAACAAGTAAGATTTACCTTAATTCGATTAGGGACATAAGGAATAAAAACACCGAACCCTGTGGTATGACTAAAATGATAAACTCATAAGGCCTATTATAAAATATCCGAGGCATCGGATTTGGTCGCGGAAACTCGTGTAAGCTAAAATACCAGGCAATTAAGCATGTGAGGACATAGGTCATGCGAAAGTCACCAGTGAAGTTGTGCTAATTATTCTATTAGCAACTCTCACTCACGAGACCGTAAATTCTTCACATGCCATACAGAGTCCTTAGAAATTTCGGAAAGGTACTTGCATTGAGAAGCAGCCATCACTCATTGAAACACTTCCTACTCTCTTCAAGCATTTCCGCAACACATATAGTCCAAATTATTCCCTCGCCATACACTCATCTTTGCCGTTATCTTGGCTTTATTCACCAGACTTACATCATATGATCTGCCTGCATACCTGTAATCGTAAGTTGCTACTTTAAGGTTGGGCCAGTGCGATTAGACGATTTCATTTCCGTTTGAAAATCCAAGTATCCTGACAAATGCATTAAGCGAGAACGGCCAAGGCTGCATGCTTTTATTAGAAAACATCTATTTAAATGGATGGATTTTGGAATTTACGTTCAAAGTGTAAATTTATGATTACGCAAAGAGCAAATGCTTTGCACAGGTTAACCCGTACATTCGTTTTGGATCATGGCGATAGCCAAATGCACAATAGTTTAGCAGGACCAGACTCCACGGCTTGCTTTAATAATTCATGCGAATATATTATTGAGTAGTTCCGCTTATGCGGGAACCAGTAGAATTCCACCCATTTCTTTGGCGATATTGTCGCACCTTAATAAATTTACAAAGAGTAGCGGCTTGTATTCTACGTATTTCCGTGTCCGACAATGTCAGTATATAACGTACTTCATAATGTACTTAATGTTCTGGATTTTTGCAGAACCATTTTTTGCTGCGCATTCCAAGTCAACCTGTTTTTGGATATTCCCTTGAACATGGGCAACGTTGCTGTCTAATTTGTACAAAAAAATTTCCATAGAACCCGACTCCTCTAAATATGATACTTACGAAGGGAGGTACCGAGAAACTCCATCAAATCTCATTTTTTAATAATAAATGCTATTTGGGATGCTGTCTAAGGAAGTGGTCGTTTTCACTTTTGTGGCAGGAAAATTATACAGACTCCTGTATGGAAGTTGTTTGAAATTAAATCTGGCTCAAAGCATCACATTAGGCATTTTCGTCTACTTCAGAGTATTTCCAACTTTATTTATGAGCTTGCTTTAAAGGACCTCTCTTAATTAAAAGAAGAGATAAATTGATGAGATATCTCGGTGCCAATGTCATGACTCCTCCTAAGAAAGTAAATAATTGGTCAAATAATACCTAGATTTACTTCGTTACAGTTAATTGTTCAAGTCCCCACTATTCGATAATTAGCAGTATTTTTCAGTATACATCATTAGGCTGGGTTCTGTCCTGTAATTCTGCCCATTTCCATGTCCTCTTTCTAACTATTCCTCTATGCAATTAAAGAATGAAGGTTAAAAGGTCACTCGTCGATTTAAAGTGGAGTTAATGTTAGAAATTGGTCACACATTACTACAGAATTTCCTCCAGCGAACTTACTTTTCAATACTCTGTGGTGCTATTAAAAGATTAGTTCTAGTTTTGTATTTAGCAAGATATGAAATGCTTTTTAAAGTCTGCAAGGAAATACAGCTAAAGGGTGTATTTTTGCAATGCGTTACCAATTTCGTAGATCATTAAGTAAAAAGGTATCTGCGTGGGTTGTTTGGGGGCATGGAGAGGCAGCCTCCTCTTGATTACAACTAGATCTTTTGATTAAATGGATAGCATACTTTAGTATAGCATCCCGAGACTTCACTAAAGGAGAAAGAATACATAATACTCGGGTAGAATATGCA